GTCAGAGATGAAAGAAAATTAGTAAAATGTATATGAAAACCTTCCTTCTGTCAGAGTCTGGGGTACACCATGGGACCCAGAGTCAGGTCCCCGCCCACTCACATGCACCTCAAAATCGCATGAGACCCAGACCAGACTGGCGCCCCCCCTCCAATGGGCTAGATCCAGACCCAGCCAGTCTCACCTTGTCAAGCCCGACCAGGCAGGGGTGTGCCTTGTGGTCCCCCCATCAAGCCCCACCAGGCGGGGAGAGGGGGGGATGCAGCCTTAGGTCCCCCAGCCCAGCACCAGGAGGGGGGCACAGCCTCAGATCCCCCATCAAGCCCCACTGGCAGGGGGGAGCAGCTTCAGATCCCCTATCAAGCCCGCTGTGTGGGAGGCATGGCCTGAGGTCCCCTGTCAAGCCCAGCCAGGCAGGGGGGCACAGCCTCAGGTCCCCTGGCCCAGTGCTGGGGTGGGGTGTGTGGCCTGAGGCCCCCTGGCCTGGCGCTGGGATCAGGGGAGCAGCCTGAGGTTCCCTAGCCCAGGACCAGGATGGGAAATGCACCTTGAGGTCCCCTGTCAAACCCTGCCAAGTAGAGGTTTCGACCTGAAGTCCCAGTCAAGCCCCACTGAAGCTGAGGGGAGGACGGAGCCTCAGGTCCCTGCTAATTGCTCATTAAGGCTCCTTATGGGAACATGGCCTCAGCTGTGGGTTCAGCCGTCTTTGTGAGGGAGTGATGGTCAATTAGCATATTCCCTCTTTATTAGACAGGATGGTTACCTCACCGGAATAGATACATGAAAGTGCTTTATAAACCATATTGTACTTCACTAGTTACGGAAACTGTGACTACACCTTGACAGCAGCAGGGAGTGGAACAAGTCTCCCTCCCTGTCAAAACGGAGAAAAGCAAGAGGAGTTTTTCACTAAAGGCAGAACCAGCTCCTTTTCTACATGGGCACCTGACCAAAGCTTGCGCCTGGAGAACCCACCCTTAGAGCAAGGGCAGGAAGAAAGCTGAAGGAAGAGCAAAGCACTCCCTTAGGCACGTACCAAAAACACAGCTGGTGAGTATAATTCAATTCTGAGAAGCCTTGTTTTGAACTTACAGGGGTGCGGAAGCAGGTGGGACATACTTATTACTGAGCATCCCCGGGTCATGATGGCTCCTGGACCAGGAGGAAACATGGAGCTTTTATGAAGTCATCCCCTGCTGGTGGCTGTGCACTCATAGTCATCCCATGGCTGACGACCTAAGCACCAGGTGCTCCAGAGTCCTCCCCAAGTCCTAACAAAAAGGCCTTCTGGAAGGGGGCCCCGCGAGGAATCTTCCAGGGAGCTGACTAGGCCATAGGAACCTGGTACTAGAGAACCCGAGCACTAACTGCAGGCCTGCCTCTATTTCTGTGCCAAAACGGACATGGCAGATAACTGCCTCCATTTTCCCACCTGGAAAGTTGGTATAACATTTAGACCCAGAGGAGAAAGTGTGGGGGGGAGAGGGGTCTAGTCCAACCCATGCATTTCATATAGGAGGACACGAAGGTTTGGGAAGTGAGTAACTATATAGTTCAAGAGGACACAGCTAGTGAGTAGCCAAGAGAGGACTCCAATCCAAATCATGTCCCCAGATTAGCGCACTTTCCGCACACCTGTTTCTTTCAGGGGCCTTCCCAGGAAGGCAGGAGTTGCCTGAATGGGTTGTTTTCCTACAATCAGTATCATTTCTCCATCATGCTGGTAGCTTCGGAGGAAAACTCCAGCAAAAAGGACAGCCGCAGCCTTCAGCCATGTCCCACTCAGCACTTAAAGATGTGGTTTTGCCAAAACTGGTTTGACCCAGTGGATAGAGTGTGGGCCTGCGGATTGAAAGGTGCCAGGTTCCATTCTGGTCAAGGGCATGTACCTTGGTTGCGGGCACATCCCCAGAAGGGGGTGTGCAGGAGGCAGCTGGTCGATGTTTCTCTCTCATCCACTTTTCTAGCTCTCTCTCTCCCTTCCTCTCTGTGGAAAATCAATAAAATATATATATATATTTTTTTTTAAAAAAAAGATGTGGTTTTACCTGGTTTTCAAGCTTGAGGATGGCAAGCAATCCGAGGATGGTGACAGAGATCCAGCCAGAGGCACAGGTGAGGGAGGGGGGGGGGGCGAGAGGGGAGAGGAAGGTATGAATAAATGGCACTGACAATGAAAACCAGGAAGGAAGCCATGCAGGCGCCCTTTGTAGTGGAGGGTCCCAGCCCCCCTATAGGGACAACAGTCCTGGAACCACAGCGCCACGTTCAAGGGTTTAGTGCTCTGAGGTCATCGTTTTGGAATTCTTAATAGCGCGCACAAAAGACCTGGCACTTTTTATGTTGCATTGGGTCCCTCACATGTTGTGTCTGCTCCTGCTTCACGCCATAAAGGGGTGGCTTGTCTACACCACCACCCCAACCCTACCCCAGCCAAGAGCAAACCAAAATCCTGCATGCTTAGCCCCTCTGGGGAGAAGGCTGTGGAAGGGTCAGGAGAGCTGTCATAGCCTCGCTTCTGGGGCAAGAGGCCGACTCCCCAGCGGCCTTTCCCAGCCCTGGAGAAATAAACGCGCCCCAGCCCACCCCACACCCCACACCCCACACCCCACACCCTACACCCTACACCCTACACCCTACACCCCACACCCCACACCCCACACCCCACACCCCACACCCCACACTCCACGCCCCTCGCGGCCTGAATCTCTCGCTCTAGCAGCGCTCCTGGCCGCCCTTCAAACCGCCAGAAGCGGCTCAGTGTGCCCGTGGGGAAACTGAGGAACGTGCGGGCCCCTCACCAGCTGAGGGAAGCTGCCCTAAGGGGCTGCGCCCCGGCCGAGCGGGGTAGGGAGGGAGGACGGCGGGCACCTGGGCGCAGGGAGGGCGACCTGGCGCGCGGAGCTCAGGAGCGCTCTCTACGTAGGAGCGTGAGCTCCGCCCCGCCCACCGCGAACGCGGGTTCTCGGGAGGGGGCGGGGCCACGGCGGGGGTGGAGTTACGGCGGAGAGGCGGGGCTCCAGCGGAACGCCGGCGCTGACGGAAGACTATAAGTAAACGAACGAGGGCAGACCTTCACAGGGAGGTTCCATAGTGTAGTGGTTATCACGTCTGCTTTACACGCAGAAGGTCCTGGGTTCGAGCCCCAGTGGAACCACCCCGAGGCCCTCTGGCTTCGGTTACCGTTTTCACTTTTGAAAGTGCTTTGAGTTGTTCACATGAAAGCTTTCATTTTATTGTTTTAATTTTTAGAATGCTTTTATCACAGAAGCGTAACGAAAGATAGCCGGCTCTTCCATTCCCGGTCGCCATCGCCTCAAATGAAAAACAGCAGAGGTGGGGCCCCGTGATGTTGTAGTCCCGGGGCACACAGCAGCCCCCCAGGACCCTACTCCCATCTTCCCTCCGCTACTTCTGGGTGGCCTGAAATCTAGAGCTGGGGGGCAGCAACACCATCCAGCGCGGCCCTTTCCCTGCCCAAACCGTCCAAATAAAATATGGCAATACGCCAGCTCTTTGATTGCTGTTCAATAATTGAAGGGTTATTAATTATTTATTAAGATTAATAATAATCATTCTGCTTTGAATAATTATTGTTTATCAAATTATTATTATTTAAAGTCTTTATTAAACTTTAAATTCAGAGTAGGGAAAACAATCTTTTTCTATTTAAAAATTTAATAAAACAGTTCTTTTCTTGTTTAAAGTATTACATATGTCTCCTTCACAGCCCTTTTCTTTTTAATACAACAGTGGAGTTTGTTGAATAGACCTTCATCTGTTTAATGAATCCATATACAGTACAGAATAAATGTCAGGCTTGTAGACACCCAATAAACACGATTGAACAACGCTTCTTTAGTTCCTTTTTGTTCCTCTTTATTAGTTCATTACACTTTCATTTTGAGGGCGTCATTATCTTTTTAATATTGGCTTTTTTTTTTCTTTGACAAGAGGAGAGAAGGAAAGGTGTGTGGGAGTATGGAAGCTGAGATGGGATAGTGGTGACCATTCATCTGGTTCTTAATGAATCATTAGCATTCATTAGGAACAAAAAAGGCAAGGGGAACCGCAGTCCTTTTCTCTGCATTTTTTCCAAATAGTGTTGCTCATATAGTGTGTAAATTTGCACCCTTTTCTAGCTCTAGAGTATGACACCTGATTGTCCCTGTTATTACAGTCTCTTCAAGTTTTAACTTTATTTTTTTTACCATCTTCGCCATTTTTAAGTATACAGCTCAGTAATGTGAATTATATTCACACTGTTGTCAAAAGGATCGCCAGAACTTCTTACACATATAATCCCATTTAATTCTCAAACTAACCCCATGAAGTAGGCATTATCGTTTCCTTACAGACCAAAACGTTGAAACGCAGAGACCTGAAGTAACTTGGCCCAAGGTCACAAAACAAATGGTTGAGCTGGGATTTGCACCGTCTGGCTTGGGAACCTGCTTTTAACCCTACCTGTTGCACTGAAACCCCTAACCTTGGCCATGGATACTGTTTCCAACTTTTTGTTATTATAAATAACCCAGCAATGTATTTTAGCATTTCCCCGAATGACTAGATATGAACATGAAGCCAAGTTGCTTTCTAAGAGGGGAATCCGTGTCACTGTCACAGAACTCGCAAATGTTAGTGCTTATGTGGCAGGAAATTGCTCAAGGTCACCCACTAGAAGATGATGACATAGAAAGAATTAAGACCTGGGTCTTCAGATTCCAGGCTCCGTTCCCCTCCAGTGCTTCCCTTACGTTTAAAGCTAGAAGAAAAACAATATTTTCCTTTGCTAAACCGACCTCAGTTGACACTAGATTCTTGTCTAAGACTTCCTTGTTAAGGCAGGTAACTATGTGGGTTAACTTGGGGCTCAGCCCACGCCCTAAGAACTAAATGGCATAAGGTACTTAATGAGGCTGGTGCTCAAGTTAATCTCCTGCTCCTGGGGAAGCTCTCCACTTGGATAAGGTAGAGCTGCAGCCAAAGACAAGGGAAGAATGCCACTCAAGATAGAAGCCTTCTTGTTCTTACTTCTGTTTGGCTATGAAGGTGGGTGCCAGCCAACCATTAGCATTCCTTAAACACTTAATATGATTGAATGAATAATATAGCTGCTTAATAGAAAGGCAACCTAAATAATTAAAATGTACTTAATGAGCAAAGCATGTTAATTCATATGTGTTATTAATGAACAACATTGCCTTTGGGTGGATGCGGTTCTTTCTGTCTGGTCGCTGGCTTTTTGGCCTTCTGAAGTTCAAAGGGTGCTTAAAATGGGTCAGAAAAGAAGGAAGGGTCTCAGAGATTGTGTTAAAATAGCTACAAATTCAACAATTAGAAGGAAAGTGTGACATGTTCTTGTAAATTTTTAGGAGTCACGGTTAGAGTGGTTGTAGAGTTTAATCTTCCAAACCAGGACGCTAATGAGAGTAGAAGAGGTTGCTATTAATAATTCTGCTGGGACAACAGGTGTAAACCAGACTGTCCCGGGCAAATCAGGACGTGAGGTCACCCTAGTTTAAATATGGATTAACATGGGGGGAGGGGATGGGGTAGGAGAGGTCAATAGGACATAACAATAAAGATTAAAACATAAAAATAAATAAATATGGATTAGTAAAACATGCTGAGTACCACTGGACTCTAATAGAAAGAATAATCCAACTGACAGTCAGAAACCCCCAAAGACTCAATGCACTAAATTATGTTTAAACGGCTAAAGATGGTCCCGGCAGGAGTGATATGCTTAAATAAGGAGAAATTAAAGGCAAATATCGAAAATGTCAACCAATTCAACTTTTAAATTTTCAACTCGCAAGGGCCCATCAGCTCAGGATTTCTTTTTTAGTTAATTCTGAACAAAGTATCTTCTTTATGGTCATTGGGTATGTATGTGGGTAACAGAAGATAAATAAAGAGGGCAGAGAGGAGAAGGCCTCTCCACTCTGTAAACGACCTGGTTGACAGACATGACAACACTCACACAAGCAGACTGAGAGTTCCTGGTTTCAATCATTCTCCTTTCTACCCTCTCACCTTTTACTGGTAGAGTACTCACTTTCATGATTCCCCAATCACATAACTTTTGTTATTTAGTCACCTTTTTTAGTATTTGGAAAGACTTGGAAAGATCTAATCCCAACATCATTTTTGCAAATGACATAGAGATCATTCTAAGTAGAGATCATTCCGACTAATTGTCTGATTTTTTTCTCCTTGCAACATGCGCCAGTATCTTAAAATAAATAAATAAATAAATAAATAAATAAATAAATAAATAAATAAATAAAAAAGGATAGTTTATTTCCCTGGCTGGTGTGGCTCGGGTTGAACATCATCCTGTGCATAGAAAGGATGCCAGTTGGATTCCCAGTCAGGGGTCATACCCAGTTTGCGGGTTTGACTGTAGGCACTCAATCAATGTTTCTCCCTCTCTCTCTAAAATCAATAAGAACATTTTTTAAAAGGATAATAGTTTGCCTGGCTGGCGTGGCTCAGTGGTTGAGCATTGACCTACGTACGAACAAGAAGAACACAGTTCAATGCCCAGTCAGAGCACATGCCCGGGATGCTGGCTCAATCTCTAGTGTGGGGCTCACATGCAGCCTATCAATTATTCTTTCTATCTCTCCCTTTACCTTCCTTTCTGAAATCAATAAAAATTGTTTTTTTTTAAAAATTAAAGGATAATAGTTTGATTTTTTTAGAGGAGGAAGGAGGTAGAAGGATTGTTATGTGTGATGGCCTTTTGCATGTCCTCTACCAGGGATCAATCCCACAACCTGGCATGTGCCCTTGACCTGGAGCACCAATACCCAACCAACTGTACCCACAGGCCAGGACTGTCTCAGTAACTCTTAATAGGTTCAGATGCTTTTGTGGTTTTGTTGTTTTCCCTTCTCTCTTTGACCTTTCCTCAGCAAGAACATCTAAACAGCCTTTAAAGGCTGAGATCCCAATACCTCTGGTTCTCAGACATCCACAGGGCCCATCTCAGATTCCTCTTTGTGATTGTCATTGAAATTTGTTTATCCATTCTTTCATTTGCCTGTTCATTCAGGAACCCATCCCTGAGTACCTGCTATGGGCCAAACACGTGCTGAGACTAACAACTCTGTTTTGTGATCCCCCCAAATGTGAAGAAATATTATAAAAGTTTACCAACCTATTTAAAAAATATATTTTAATTGATTTTTAGAGAAAGATAGGAAGGGGAAGGAATAGAGAGATAGAAACATCAATGAGACAGGGAGCTCATCAATTGAATGCTTCCTGCATTGGCCCCACACTTAGGGATCTAGCCCACAACCCGGGCATGTGCCCTGAGTGGGAATCCAACTGGTGACCTCTTGTACCAACAAATGAGCAGGTCTAATTTAAAAATAGGTTGGTACAAGAGGTCACCAGTTCGATTCCCGCATCAGAGTAAAGCACTGCTTATGTCTTACATAAGATGTCGGGGATATCTGCAATAAAAGACATGCTGTCAGGAGGCACAGAACCCTGCACTCATTCCTGTTCTACTGTGAAGCTTCTATTGCCTACCAATCTTTGTGCATGGCTAGGGAGCTCCAGAAATCTACAGTTAGAGAATCTTATCTGTCTATGTGGAATGGAATATGGCCCAGTGGGTAGGCTTGAGAAGTTTAAGTTCTCTGACCCACCTAACCAAGGCCCTCCATCCTCATGCAGCATGGAAGGAAAGAAGCCAGCAGAAAATGGCCAGCGCTCTACCCTGAGCTAGAGGGATGCTCCAGGAGGCAGAGAGAAATCTTGACCGCCCCCAACTGTCCCCCCCTGCTGCCTGCTTGTCCCCAACTACCACCCTTGCTGGCCTGATCACCTTCAACTGAGCCCCACTGCCAGTATACAGTATAAAATGACTACGGTACACTGAATCTGCTTGCAATCCAGACAGAGGAATAGGACATAGAGCACATGGGGAAGATGTATTCTATTGCACACTGGGAACCTGAAGACAAAGGTTCTTTGTCTCATTGACTCTTCTCGGTTTCTATTCCACGGTGGCAGTGGCTCTTTACTACAGTGAAATAAGGTAAATGGATTGACCTCCCATCCGAATTAGATGAGAGCTCACTTGGGAACGCACTAATCAGCAGAGTAAAGCACTGCTTGTGTCTTCTAACTGAAGCATTGTACACTTTGGATTCAAAGCCAACAAAGATTTGAAAAATACCCTCCTTAGTAAATTCTATCAGTCAATTAATTGCTCATGGTTATTATATAAAAACAAACAAACAAAAAATGACCAAGCTTCATCTTACAGGTGTCCTCTCTGTTAGAGTGTCAATGATCAGGGACAGCAGATTTTTTTTAAGCAGCTTGCTTGCGATGTAATTCACATATCCATTTAAAGTGTGCAGTTCTGTGTTTTTTAGTAAGTATATTTACAGATTTGTGGAGCACACGATCTAATTTTAGAACATTCTCATCACTCCTAAAAAAGTCTGTTAGGCATTAAGCCGTCACTCCTCATTCTCCACTACCCCCTCCATCCAGCCTGCCACTCCCTAGTCCAACTACTGATCCACTTTCAGTCTCTATAGCTTTGCCTCTTTGGGACATTTCATTGAAATGGAATCATACGACATATGGTCTTTTTTTCTGTCACATAGCATATGTTTCTGAGGTTCATCTGTGTGAAGCAGGTACAGATGTCAGATTTACCCATGGATATGTCTGTCGCCTAAAACAGTCACATTTTCACACCAGAAGCAATTTCCTTCTTTCTTCTTCACGAAAAGGGACAGTATTTCAAGCTACTGTTTTTCTCCCGTGTCTTATTCTTGTTTTCAAGTAGATTGGAAGCTGGGTACAGTTTTATCATTCATAATTTTGTACTCTCTCCTCGGCTTCATCTGTTTCCATGGGCAGGAAAGCTCTGTATTTAGTGAAATCCAATCAAAGAGACTAGCAGAGGCTTCCCTATGTGCATCCAATCCATACTTCTCTTGGGCTTACGAAGTGAATTAGCTATGCCTTGAATTTCCTGGCTGTGATAACAAGTGTTCCCCTATGGCGTGGTGCTTTGGGCAAAAGGGCAGAATGAACCCATATTGCATGACTCTAAAATTGGTGAGTGACAGACATCTCAGATGCTACAGACAGCAAGCATGTCAAACTCAAGGGCTAGCACGGGCCAAATAAACAAGGTTTAAGTTTCTGTGGGCCGCAAACAAACAAAAGCTTCCATTTTCATAGAAACATAAGTTTATTTCAATAGAGACATGCTGAATACAAAGGGCTGAAATAAATGAGTCATCATTAACATAAAATAATAGAACATTTTAATAAAAATTAATATTTTTTTTCTTGAACATTAACTTATCAGACACTGAGTAACTGCACAAATTAATAAGCGTCACGAAAATAAAGCTATTTTTCTTGTTCTCTGAAAGTGAAATATTTCCTGTTGCTCACACCAAATAAGTCAGTCCAAGACTAATGACGTGGCCATCGGCTCTAAAATATTCGCTGCTGGTATTAGTGGGGAGAAATGGTGCGCCTGCACATAAGGTGCGTAAGGGAAATGAATGCAACACGATGATAGTGATCAGTCATTAGTGAATGTAGTTCGTTATTAATAACTAGTGGCCCCAAAAAAACAAAAACAAAAAAATAAACCTAGTGGCCCGGTGCATGAAATTCATGCATGGGGGGGGGCCTCAGCCCAGCCTGCACACTCTCCAATCTGGGACCCCTCGGGAAATGTCTGACTGCAGTAGGACGTCCTTCTTGCAATCCGGTACCGCTGGCTCCTAACTGCTCACCTGCCTGCCTGCCCGAACACCCCTAAGCATTCTGCCTGCCAGCCTGCTCACCCCCAACATCCCCCCTGCTGGCCTGATCACCCCAACTCCCCCCCCCCTTGCCAGCCTGATCGCCCCCAACTGTCCCCCCTGCTGCCTGCTTGCCCCCAACTATCACCCTTGCTGGCCTGATCACCCCCAACTGACTCCCCACTGCCAGTCTGCTCACCTCAACTGCCCTTCCTGCTGGCCTGATCACACCCAACCGCCCTCCCCCTCCTAGCCTGATCGCCCCCAACTCCCTCTGCTTCAGCCCTGTCACCATGGCTTTGTCCGGAAGGACATCTGGACGGTCTTCCGGTCTAATTAGCATATTACCCTTTTATTAGTATAGATTATGTATAATGGGATATTGTAAAAATTAAGTTATGGATTTTTTATTAAAATGTTTCTTACATATTGTTATATTGGCTGGGCCACAAAAATATTCATTGTGGGCCACTTGCTGCCCGCAGGCCTTGAGTTTGACATGCTTGCTCTAGTGGAAACTCATAACCTGTGGAGGAATCTCAAAAACACAAAGCCACATAATCTAAATCTTTTATTCCTTTTTTCCTTTAAAGGCTGGCCTGATTTCTTTTGCTTATGCCAACAATGTAATTTTTTTTTTATTTACTGACATTTTTTAGAGACAGAGAAGGGAAAACATCAACTTGTTGTTTCACTTATTTGTGCTTTTATTGGTTGTTTCTTATATGTTCCCTGACCAGGGGTTAAATCTGCAACCTTGGCATATCAGGATTATGCTCTAACCATTTAGCAACCTGACCAGAGCAAAGTTTTGCTTAGCTTCTGCTATTATAAGAGATTGTAGTCAAACATTTTTGCTTTTGTTCATCAGCTTTTGTGATTAATCATTTTGAGGATTACAGCAGCCACATTGCTACTCCCTTGCCGACAGCTTTTCCTGTAAAATGCTCTTTGTCCCTTTTCTCTCTGCTCATTTCCGTAAGGACCTGGTGCCTCAGAACCCCAGACTGCTTTCTGGAGAGGGAAGCTGGGAAGATGGAAAACTCCAGAAATCTACCTAGCCTCTGAGTGAACATAGGAAGTGGCTCCAAAACTAGGCTTCCTCTTAGGTCTCTCTCTCCACGGGTACACAGTGGCAGGATCTCCTGGACCTTCCCTCTTTGTTTCCTGCTTTGCTTCTGCAAGATGTGGAGCCCCTAGACCGGATATTGCAGAGGCTATGGGACAGGTCCTGACTCCCTTTGAACTCTGGGTTTTCTCAGTAGCACAGCTGCATAGGCTCTCTTCAGTAACAGGCATGGCCTCTGGGCCAAATTGATCTGGTTATTAAGGAGACACTGTCAGTGAGTTCTCTCCCTCTCCCTTCCTCTCTGAAATCAATAAAAAATATTTTTTAAAAAGATATTCTCCTTTGACTCACACTGCAGCCTGTGCCTAACCTGGTAGGCCAATGGTCGGCAAACTCATTAGTCAACAGAGCCAAATATCAACAGGACGATGATTAAATTTCTTTTGAGAGCCACATTTTTTAACTTAAACTTCTTCTAATGCCACTTCTTCAAAATAGACTCGCCCAGGCCGTAGTATTTTGTGGAAGAGCCACACTCAAGGGGACAAAGAGCCGCATGTGGCTCACGAGCCACAGTTTGCCAACCACTGTGGTATCAGCCTGGGCAGAGAGTGAGGCTTCCATATTAGTAGGCACCTGGCACAGTGCCAACCCCACAATGGACACTCAAAAGGGGTTTGTTGGATGGGGAAATATGTATCATTTAAATAGAGGCACAACTTGAAGAAGAGTTTTATAATTGTGATGAAAAAGATGAGCCCATTTCTTTACTCTGTAAAACAATCTGAAAGCATTTTGGGGTAATCAGTTCTGATTTTTAGATAGGAAAGTGGTTAAAGAGGGACTTCCTAAACTCAGGCTTTGTTTGCGATTTTTATATATAGACTAGATGCCCCTTGCAAGAAGATTCCTGCAGTAGGGATTCCTGCTGTGGTCTCCACTGCCCTGCTGGCTTCTCGCCCTTCTCCCCACACTACCTGCTTCCCTGCCTTCATCGCCACCCCGCTTGCTTGCTTCTCTGTAGCTTGGCTTCTTTCTACGCTGTCTTCAGTCTTCTCTCTGGCCTGGATATGCAAATTAACCGCCATATTGGGTGGGTTAATTTACATACTCACCCTGATTGGCTTGTGGGTGTAACCAAGGTACGGTCAATTTGCATGTTTCTCTTTTATTAGAGAGGATATGTGTTGCTTATATAATCAGAAAAGAAATGAAGGTGTTTGTTTTGTTGAAAATGAGAAGCAGTGCTTTGGAGCTTTAAACCAGTGCTACCTAATGGAATCTTCTGAAACAATGGAAGTGCTTTGTACTTGTGCTGTCCTGCACAGTAGGCACTAGTGACATGTGGCCAGTCTGATAAGTACTTGAAATGTGGCCAGTGTGACTAAGGAATTTAATTTTTTAAGTCAATGTTAGTTAAGTTCAATTCAAATAGCCACCAGAACCAGTGGCTAGGGCATTGGATAGTATAGCTTTAAACAATCAGTTTTATATGACTTCGTTTCACTTTACCATGTAATGTATCATTTTGTTGAATTTCTCTTTCTTTCTTTTTTTTAACTTGATTTTTCCTCTCGTCCTCTTGCTCAGCCACGCTGGGATTATCATCTGCTGAGGTATGTTACAGTAAGAAGGCTGGGTTGTACATAGATACTGTTTGTGAAGCTTTTCCTAGCCAAAACTAATGGATAGAGCTATGACTTTTTTCAATGTCCTTTTAAAGATATTTTTTCTGGTGTGGCAATAACACATTTTATCTGAGCAAGTTCCATGTTTCATTGAGAGAGTGCAAATAAACCACATCTTAATTCAGATGGTGCAATAATGAATCTAGTATCTTTTAAAACTGGGTCCCCAAAAGGGACATCCAGGGCATGTAAGGAGCCTGATCTTGGGTTGGGTGGCCCCAAACCCCTGAAGACAATATAATGGGGTGAACGTTGCCCCTTACATGAGTGTGTCTATGAGATTAACTGGTCACCAACAGTGCAGAAACTTGTTTATCTAGGCAAACTCATTAGTCACCAGAGCCAAATATCAACAGTACAATGATTGAAATTTCTTTTGAGAGCCCAATTTTTTAAACTTAAACTTCTTCTAATGACACTTCTTCAACATAGACTTGCCCAGGCTGTGGAAGAGCCACACTCAAGGGGTCAAAGAGCCGCATGTGGCCCGCGAGCCGCAGTTTGCCGACAACGGATCTAGACCCACAGATGAGTGGCAGCTGTGTGCCTTAAGGCTGGACTAATGTCTCAGTTGTGCTGTTGCAGTGCGAAAGCAGCTGTAGACAATAAAAATGCTGAGCACGGTTTTTGAACATCAGCTTTCCAGTAGTGCTGATCACAGTGACCTTTGACCCTGACTTTCCTGACACCCTGCCTCTCTGGCTTCCCACAGGATGAGGGCGAGGACCCCTGGTATCACAAAGTGTGCAAGTGCGATTGCCAAGGGGATGCCAATACCCTGTGGTCTGCCGGCACCAGCTCCTTAGACTGCATACCGGGTGAGTGAGTATCCCCTCTCCTTGGGGCACCAGACCCTTGGGTTGACCTTGGGAACACCCTGCTTCTCCTTTCAATCCAGCGGAATGAAACCCCTGAATGCCACACTCTCGATTTTCTCCAGTTGGCCTCTGAGCTGCAAATGCCACATGGCCACTGACCCATTAAACTGACCTGATGGCCTTGTTAAAGATGGGACCCTTTGAAAGAGATTCATGGATAATTAATTGAAAATAAGTCCATTGCCAAAACCGGTTTAGCTCAGTGAATAGAGCCTCGGCCTGTGGACTGAAAGGTCCTAGGTTCAATTCCAATCAAGAGCATGTACATTGGTTGCAGGTACATCCCCAGTAGAGAGTGTGCAGGAGGCAGCTGATGGATGTTTCTCTCTCCTCGATGTTTCCAACTCTCTCTTCTTCTCATTCCTCTCTGTAAAACTCAATAAAATATATTTTTTAAAAAAAGAAAAGTTCATGGCAGGTGGCAGGGAGTTTTGAGAACAGCTTAGGCTTCTGAGCCAGGAAGAGCAGAGTTGGGGGACTGCTGGAGGGAGCATTTCTAGAGGTCCCCACGGGAGGATGAGATGTGGTAGGAAACTTGATCTACATGGAATTATACCCCTTTTCAAAGTCCCATTTCCCTTAGTCCAGTCACAGAAGAAATTTAGCTGGGGTGTCTTCTCTCTGTTGGACTCTTGGGGAGTGTAAAGTTGCAGCTTCCTGGTGAAGCTGCCCAAATGACATGGCTATAATATCTGGCCTTCCCTTTGCTCCTTTCCTCTCTATACTAATAAAAGGGTAATATGCTAAATAGACCAGATAGACAGGGAATCTTCCAGATGTCCTTCTGAACAAAGCTGCAGTGGTTGCAAGAGCCGATGAGGGCAGCTGGCAGTGGCAGCAGCAGCAGGGTGAACTTCCCCTGATTGGGGAACATCCCAAAGAGGGAAGCCAGAGACAGTAGCAGCCGCAGGGTGATGGGGGTGGCGCCTTCCCCTGATTACCTCGATTGCCTCCCAGAGAGAGAGGCCAGACTGGGGCTTAGGACATTTCCTGAGGGCTCCCAGACTATGAGAGGGGGCATGCCGGGCTAAGGGATCCCCTCCAATGCATGAATTTTCATGCACTGGGTCTCTAGTCCTATATAATAAAAGGCTAATATGCAAATTGACTGAACATCAGAATGACCAGTTGCTATGATGCACACTGACCACCAGAGGACATACGCTCAATGCAGGAGCTGCCCCCTGGTGGTCAGTGCACTCCCACAGGGGGAGCACCGCTCAGCCAGAAGCCGGCCTCACAGCTGGCAAGCGCAGTGGTGGTGGCAGGAGTCTCTCTCACCGCCGTGGCAGTGCTAAGGACCCCTGGGGGGCTGTCCCAGATTGCAAGAGGGCACAGGCTGGGCTGAGGAACCCTCCCACCTCCCAGTGCATGAATGTCATGCACTGGGCCGCTAGTTATTAATAACTAGTTAATTACAATGGTATCAATGCTACTGTGCCTGGTTAGCCATTGCTCACCAAATAGCCATGTATAATACTTCCCCACATTCCAGCCTCCAGCCCCCTCTCCATATTAGCACTTCCCACCTAAGTGAGTAGTGTCCTTCCAAAGTAAGGCATTTAAGGGCTGCTGGCCCTCAGCTCTCCAGCTCTCCATCTTCCTGCTTAAGAAAATGACTTTTCCCTCAGCCTGGGTGCCCACCCACAATGGCTCAGTCACCTGAGTGAGAAATAAATCTTTGTTGAATTAACCCTCTGAAATCTCTGGACGGTTTCGTCTGCAGCATAACATGACCTTTCCTGACTAATGTAAATGCCTATCTTCCTCTAAGGCAGGGGCCAGCAAACTTTGTCTGTAAAGGACCAGACAATAAGTATTTATGGCTTTGTGGGTCATGCCTTCTCAACTCTTCAATTCTACCATTGTTGCTCATAAATAATCCATAGACAACATGTCAATGCATGTGCATGGCTGTGTGCCAATAAAACTTTATTTACAAAACAGGCAGTGCACAATATTTGGCCTGAGGGCCACAGTTTGTGGATCCCTGCTCCAAGAAGTTGTTATGAGGAATAACTCGGATGAGGCATGAAAGCACCTCGTGCTATACTTGGCAAATTGGTGCTCCTTTTCTTCCTGCCTTCTAAGAGCTCATGCTCTGGCTTTCAGAGGTTCAGGAGGCCCGCAAATATTTGCCATGCTCAGTCCTTTCTAGGCTCAGAGCCTCTTTGGTATGAAACTGTCCTTGCCACCCCTCTCCAGGGTTACAGAGCGCCTGTCACGTCATCCACTTTACATAATCGCCTAATAATAGCTCCGGGAGAGACAGGTTTGTGTGTATGCCTGTGAGCTTCTCTTCATTATTTCATTAAATTTGCATTAAAATAGAAAATTGTGGGGGAGAGAAGGAGCGAGTCTACAATGGCTTTTACTGTCACCGTTTTCCTATTTACTAAGTCTTACAAGGGAACAGTGGGGTCCCTATAGGAGCAAAGCATTATGTGCTGTTGAGTTCAGTGGGCTTCTCCCACTGGACCGGAGCTCTTGTAGCCATTATGTGTTGGTGTGATCTTCCCAGTCATTAATAATCCGCCCCCTTTGTCATGTGCCTATTATGTGCCAGATACTGATGAGGAGACAAAAATGAAGGCATTGTCTCCACCCTGAAGGAGTTTACCATGTAGTGAAAACAAATGTTCTCTTCACTAGAGACAGGAGGCTACAGGAATTCCATTCCAAGGAAGTTCTTTCTAAGAAATTGAAAAGAGATTTTTTATGCAGATTGGGTTCATTGACCTAATCAACTGTGAAAGGGCCTTGTGTTGGAGGAATGGGAAGACAATTGGGGCCCCAAAGCTATCTCCCCTACACAGTCAGGAAGGGGAGGTTCTAAAATCAGAAATTCTTTAGCTTACCTATTCTTTCCCCATTGTTTTTGTTTGTTTTCTTTTATTTTTATAACAACACAGATATTTCCAAGAAAACACACACACACACACACACACACACACACACACACACACACACACACACAACCTTGGTGTTAAATGGTTGATTCATTGGTGTTAATTAGCTTTTCCAGGAAAGATCTGATTCAGGGCAGCAGGACTACAAGCTTCCAGAAGAGATTTGCCTACAGTGCTTCAGATCCCTATTAGAACTTTGGTAATGATTGGTGCCCTTGGCCTGTATGACACAAGGCTCTCTGCCTACTCTGATTTAGGGAAGAAGAAAAGCCTAGAAAGCACAGGAGGACAGGAAGGTCACTCATAGCTGCCAAAAAGGAGCTTCCAGGTGCACACTGGTTCTTACTGCCCAGGGCTCCTACCCATAGAGCAGAAGGGTAGGTGCGTTGTGGCCTCCTAATCTTTATCTTAACACTACTAAAAACACTCAAAGGTCTGTCGTTTCTTCCGTTGAGTCAAGATTACCTGGGCACTCTGAGATGCAAGAATAGGGTAGGGAAGGTATTAGAGTATAAGAAATCCAATGGCTCAATGCTTTACTTGTATTCCAGATCCAGATTCTACATGATATTCAAATTTATATTCTATTCTTCTGTAAATATTATTTTATATTCTACTACATTGTCATAAATATTCAAGTCTAATACCCATGCATAATAATATTCACATCTTTCTTGACAAGAATGTCCCTCCACTCTCTTTGTGTCCCTTTAGGTTAACATCTTTTATAAGCATGTCTGGCCTGAATGCCTACAGATTGAGCAATTATCTACTCAATAAGAAAAGCTAGTATGTTAAATATCCATAGTCTGGATTAGCAGCACAATGTGACTATGCCTTTATCTATCTAAGTATCACATCAGTGCTCACAAGAGCCACTTGTGCCACAAACGATTTGAGTTTCTCCTTAAGAGTGAAATGAGTATAGACATAGGCCAGTGGGACATCTCTGGGTCAGTTAATTTCTACTTTCTCCCTGAGCTCACTGCTTCCTGTTTCTGCAATTTTCTCTGGCATTATAGGCTTTATACTATAGGCTTATCCCCAGTGGCCGCCCAAGAGGGGGGGTGATGATGTTTCTTTATCCATCCATCCTTCATCTATCCATCTGATCAATATCTATGCAGTACCTACACGTGTAGGCATTCTGCAGGGCTCAGAGAATGGAATGGTGAGAAAGACCGACTGGGCTGCTGCTGATTAAATAATCACAGGAAGTGGGACAAGTGACAGGTGGAAAGTGCCTGGGAGTACTGGAATCCTTTAACCAGCTCAGGATGGGCAGAGATCTGAAGGATGAGTAGAGGTAAAGGGGGAAAAGAGGGGCAGGAATGTCATAGGCAGGCCTGCATGGGGACCTGAAGACCCCTCAGCCAGGACTATGGAAGGAGGAGGAGGGAAAAGGAGCCAGGAAAAATAATAAAGAAACTGTACTACAGTTCACTCCACAGCACACAGAGCACAAGGCATGTTACAGTTTCTATTTTATCAAGTTCAGATAATCCTAGTTTGAGTCCCCTCTTGTCATGGCCTGTGAACAGTCTAAAGAAAGGATTGTAGAAGGTCCTTTCTCTCCCCTTTGGACTACATGAACCCATACCACAAGCTTGCAAGGGCTGCCTGGGGCAGGGCCTGGGTCCAGGCTACGTAGTAGGCTCTTTGCCCAGCCTACAGCCCCACTCCAAGGTCAACAGCTTCCTCTCTGAACCAAACTCAGTCCTGGGGACCTTTCCAAGTTTCCTGAAGGTGTCCAGAGCTCAGGGCTCTCGGGCCCCATCCCTGGTCCAGCCTCATCAGAGGCACCATTTCCCGGCTAAGCTCAGGCCCTTACCATGAGCCCCCTCCTCCTCTCCCCACCCAAACTTAGCAAGAGTCAAAGCTCAGAGTCCCTGGCATCTCCTCCTTTGGGAAAAGCAGCTGATTCCTTTTGAGGCCTACACCTTCCAAATCTACAATCCTGAGAGATGCTATGTTGCCAACAGGCTTCTTTCTCAAGTCACACACACACACACACACACACACACACACACACACACACACACAGAGAGAGAGAGATAGAGATAGATAGATAGATAGAGAGAGAGAGAGAGAGAGAGAGAGATGTGCACATTGTTTATTCCATCCTGTGGCAAGGAGAGCCCAAACCTTTGGAAACATGAAGCTGGCCTCTTTCTTAGAGATGATGGGAGCAGGACAGCATGGGATATAGGGTAGATGTTAGATTTTTTCCCTAGAGACTCTTCATCAGAAAAACAAACAAGCCAAACTCAAGAAGACATGACTATATTCTCACCATTTCACCCTATCCTACCAATATGAGCTGCTGCTTTTTAACCTGGCACTATAGGCTTTATACTTTACAAATGTTATTTCACATAACCCCACAGCAACTTTGTGGAGGCTGGTTCTACTGTTGTGTTCCTTTCATAGACAAGGAATCTGAAGCAGAGACATTAAGCAGCTTGCCTAACTCACAGAGGGAGAGTAGGATTCAATTCCAGGTTGCATTGGCTCTAAACCAGCAATCTTGACTTTGGCTGCCCATTACAATGACCTGTAACTTTACCCCATGCCCAGGTCCTTCCCCAGACAATGACATCAGACTCTCTGGGGGGTCTGGCCTAAACACCAGCACTTCTGCAACTCCCCAGGTGAATCGCAGGCTGAGACCCATCAGAGTCTCTGCTCTGTGCCCTGGGCCAAACCACCCAGTGTCTGTGTAGCAGCTGGGTAGTTGGAGGCACCAAAGCTTGAGAAAGGAGCACCGGATGGGGGCAGGCTTGAGGCTTGCATGCTGAAGGGCCCAGTTTTGGCTATGAAGTATCTTTGGGTCACACAGATGGAACTATTCGCCTGGAAAATATTCCTAGGGCCTGGGAGTCAGGCTTTGGCTCCCACATGCCTGCTGAAACCATGGGAATGGTGAGATCATCACTTCTCCTGGAGAGTGTGGGCAAGATCCATGTCTGGACAAGTCTTCACAGGCCTCCAAGGCCATTGCTCCTGGCCAGGTTCCTGCATGTCTACAGCCCACACTCTTAACTATTAGATGGGTAATTGGGAAGAAATGGCAGGAGATATGAGGGGAAACAGTGAAAAATCAAAATGCTAAGAATAAAGTTCTTGGAGAGGTGGCAATGGCTTTTTCTTCCCCTCTGCTCCCTCCCTCCAAGTTGGTGGCCCTGAAGTAAGAAAAGGAAGGTTCTGGATACAGGAGAGTTAGAGATAGTCACAGTTAGAATTTAAGTAATCACCAAGGCCCAACTGAAAGCCAGCTTTCTGACACTGGAGCCTTGTCCCTCTATCTGGTGGCCCCAGTTTGTCTTCCAGGTCGGAGGCAGGTAGAGGAGGTGGAGGAGCCCTCAAAGCCATGGGCACTAGGCCCACGAATCCACCAGCCAACAAAATGCCTTCCGTGGTAGGCTAAGGCTTCCATAGTGCACTTTGATAGTGTGCTTGTTAAAAATTGGCCACTCTGGGAGTGAAATCCTGGAAAAGGCATTCTTAAGAAGCTCCCTTGATGATTTGACCACACAAGGGATGTGTGTGTAGCTCATAAAGTGTTCCTGTTTCCTCTCCCAGGAATTGACATTTTAATAGGCCCCTGAAGCCTTGTGTTCTTGATCAACTACAAATGCTATACCTTCACCCCCAGCCCCACTGAGCTGTAGCTACTGGTGGGACTTGGACCTATATTTTTTGGTGCATTGAGTAGAAAGGGTCTTACCCCCCACCACCACCCTAACCCCAGGAGGTCTGAAGCTTTTTCATGCTTCATTCAGTTTCACTGACTTCTGAAAAGGATTTTCTAGAAAGAACTCGCTCTCATTTTACTGTGTAAGGTGATGATACCCCAGTAAATATATTCAGCTCTTCAACATAAACCCAAACTTACACATGAAAAAAATAATCTGATTTACCGTACTTGAAGTTTATCACTCACAATCAGAAAACTAGGAGAATGTATTTGCATAAGCTGATTTATTTCCTACTAGTGACCTGGTGCATGGATTCCTACACATTGAAAGGAAATTAATTAGAAGGTGGTCTGTGGGGCGGGATTGTGCGAGACAGGCTGGACACATCTTGGAGCCAATTTCCTGCGGTCCCTCCCTGGCCTGCTACATCTGGGGCAGCACCAGGGCTCAAAGGGCATCTGCAGAGTGAGCGGGGGTCCCTCAGGAGTTGGGGTCTCTTGGCCTGGCCTGTGGAGATCGGGCTGAAACCGGCTCTCTGATATCCCCCAAGGGATCCCAGAGTGTGAGAGGGCACTCTGAAAAGTTGTTGTACAGGGTGTGGAACACAAACACAAGTGTGCAGTAAACCAGATTTGGGGCTGACAGTGTCCCAGCAACAACATAACCAATAGTCAAAGGTGGAATTGCACGGCCCTGTGAGGAATCAGGCTCCCTCCTCTCTGGTTCCAGGTGCATCACCCAAGAACCACCGCTGCCAAGTCACCACAGCTCGGCAGCTCTTGCGTTGAGCATCTGCCCCTGGTGTTCAGTGTATGTCATACCTACCAGCCAGTTGGAAGGTCAATTAGCCTTTTATATATACTAGAGGCCCGGTGCATGAAATTTGTGCATGGGGCGGGTGTGTCCCTCAGCCCAGTCTGCACCATCTCCAATCTGGGACCCTTGAGGGATCGCAGTCAGACATCCTCTCACAATCCAGGATTGCTGGCTCCCAACCGCTCACCTGCCTGCCTGCCTGATTGCCCCTAACTGCTTCTGCCTGCCAGCCTGATCACCCCCTAACTACTCCCCTGCCAGCCTGATCAACACCTAACTGCTCCCTTGCCAGCCCGATTGCCCCTAACTGCCCTCCCCTGCTGGCCTGATTGCTCCCAACTGTCCAGACAACTGCTGGCCAGCTTGTGGCAGCCATCTTGTGTCCACATTGGGGCGGCCATCTTGTGTGTTGGAGTGGCAGTCAATTTGCATATTACCTCTTAAATAGATAGACAGATAGATAGATAGATAGGAATTCAGTAGAAACTAGGTTTGATTATAAATAAGAGGCCCCCTAAATAGTGGGTTATTGAGTTAGCTTTGTTTTGACTGACATGGTAAAAAGACTAGGGGTAGGATTTTGCTTAAGGATATCAGGGCTGAGGTCTCTGCCATTCCCTTGGCCTTATCCCCATGGTGCAAGATGGCTACTGTTGCACCAGCCATTAAGTCTTGCTTCTAGGCAACAGTTAGAAAGAAGGGGCAAGCAAAACCTGACCAGAAATCCCCAGCAAACATTCTTTTATATCTCACTGGTCAGAAATTATATCACATGACTTCTAACTGGAAGAAAGTCTAGGAAAGATTGTTTTTGTAGCTGGCTACATTGCTGTCCCCAACAAAATTAGGGTTCTTTAGTGAAAAAGAAGGGGAGAATGGATACTTGGATGGCAATTGGCAGTCTCTGACCAGGTAAACCAACACTAAATGTGAGAGGAAATACATGAGAAGCAGCAGATAATTAACATATAAGAACGAGCTTTGGCTATTCTTATTTGAGAAAAGCAGTTCCTTCCTACTGTTCTTTATTTGAAAGTCACTCAAACACATTTCACCCCCACCCCCATTAGACTAGTGAGACAACTGCAATTTACAAAGAGGAACTCAGTCTCAATATATAATTGCCTTCCTGCCTCTCACTATTTTTTTTTTTCCTTATAATTGCCACCACATGCTGCCCAAGGACAATTAGGGACCCTGATGGCATCATATAGGATGGCTGATGTATTAATGAGGAAAACAAAGAGTATGGCATTTAAGTATGACATTTCGCTGCAAACCTCTTGGTTTTTAGGTTTCTTTGTGAAGGAGGTGGACTATTTCTCAAAACTACCCCCAACCACTGCCATGCTTTTATGAATGTCCCAAATCTCTGTAGCAATTCTTTTACTTCATCTTCAGACAGGATGGTTTGATTTGTCATTTCGGTCTGTCGTGTTTGGTGAGTATTGTGATGCAATCTGAGTGTTTTGATGTACATTGTTTTTCCTTTCCCAGAATGCCCCTATCATAAACCCCTGGGTTTCGAGTCAGGGGAGGTTACACCAGACCAGATCACCTGCTCCAACCCGGAGCAGTACATGGGTTGGTATTCGTCGTGGACTGCCAACAGGGCCCGGCTCAACAGTCAAGGCTTTGGGTAAGCAGGGCTGGCAGCTCAGCTGACTTTTTTTTTCATGTGATTTGAAAAAGTAGGTCTCTGTAATAAATGAGTGAAACAAAATGCATTGAGTTATTCAGTAAACATTGGTTGAATGCCTTCCATGTGCCAAGGACTGTGGATAGAGCACCAAACCAGCTGGCCTTTACGAAGCACACAATTTAACGGGGAGAGGATTCTAAGCACATAATCACACAAGTGATCCCTTAGTAAGTGTGATGAGTGCCGTGGAGGAGACAGAGGAGAAACACCTGGTCCATTTGAAGCACCAGGGAAGAGCTCTCTAAGGGAAATATATTTAACCTGTGACTTATAGTTGGCCAGGTGAAGGGGTGGGCATAGGATACAGCAGGTGTAGAGGCCATCAGTAAAGACCACTTAAGGGCATGGATAGAGCCCGCAAAGAAGGCCAGCAAGGTCAGAGCACAGGCAAGGCAAAGTTGGAGAGGCAGACAGAAATCAGATCACACAGGTCCTTTTAAGTCATGCTAAAGAGTGTAGCCCTCACTTTAGGGATAATGGGAGGATCCTGAATGTGCATTAGTTAGAATCCAGGTTTGTGCTGCTGTAACAAAGAAGCCCAAAGTACAGAGACTTAGTGGGGAGGTGTGTCTCCTGCTCATCTAAAAGTTTCATCAGGTGGTTTAGGGTTCTTATGGCAGCTGGGTGCTGGCAGGGGTCCAGATTCTTTCTACCTTGTTGTTCTGTCATCCTTAACATGAAGCTTCCCATCTTGGAATCTAGCTCCTCTAGCTTCCACTGTCACTTCCACATTCTAGTCAACAGGGAGAAAAGGAGAACAGAGCACTCACACTTTTCCTTTAAGGATTCAGACAACCTTATTGGCCACTTCTGCCCATATCCCATTGACCAAAATTTAGTCTGAAGAAATGTGAACTTTGTTTGGTGGCCATTTGCCCAGATAAAACTCAGGGGTTCTATTACCAAAGGGGGATGGGACGAGGCTATTGGGAGACAATTAGCAGACTCAGAGAAATTTGAAGTTGAGGAGTATTCCAATCAAATTTGTGTTAAGAAAAAAATCTTCTGCTCAGCTGGTGTGGCTCAGTGGTTGAGCATTGAATTATGAACCAGGAGGTCATGGTTCAATTCCTGGTCAGGGCACATGCCTGAATTGCAGGCTTGATCTCCAGTGTGGGAGGTGGCCGATCAATGATTCTCTCTTATCATTGATGTTTCTATCTTTCCATCTTCCTTCCTCTCTGAAATAAATATATATATATATATATTTTTTTTAAAAGAAAACTAAAAATATTCTGGTTCCTGTGGGGAGAGCTGTGTAGTTTGAGAACAAGGGTAATCCAAGGAGACTAACGAAGCTATGGTGGCAGTCCAGGCAACAATTGAGGGCTAGTGTGGTGGCAGTGAAATGGAGAGAAGTAAAGGACTGACAAACAGTTGGAGATGGAGCCGCTAGATGGATTGGCTGTTTGAGGTGACAGAGAGGAAGGGGTCAAGAACGACTCTCAGTTTGCTGGCATGAAGACCTGGAAAGACAGGGGTTGCATTCAGAGAGATATGTAGCATTGAAGGAGGGGTTTGGGTGAGGATAATTCATAACTCACTTTTGAACTTGTTTCATTGGAGATGCTCTGGCATCCGGGAGAGTTTGACTAGCTAGCGATTGATTCTCAGGATTTGGAATTGAGAAAAGGTTTGGGCTGGAAGTAGCAAGTCAGAGCCACCTGAGGAGCAAGTCTGGAATTAGAAGAGAAAGCAACCAAGGACTGAGTTCTGAGAAGCTAATTAATACGCAGTAAAAAGCGGGGGAGCTACAGGTTTCCACAATTTAGGAGGGATAAAGCTAAAAAAACAAATCAGTTCCTCAAGGTTGGTTAGCTTGTAACTGTCAAAAAGCCCTCCCAGAGCCCCTCATCTCACTGTTCCCCACACGGTAGACACTCCCTGAAAGCCACGCTTGACAGCACATGAAGGAGGTGCAGATATGTATGAAGAGAGTGATGGGTGATATTAAAGAAAAACAAAATATTCCTGGTGAAAGAAACATCAGGAGAGACTAATGAAAAGTGAAGGAGGCTGGTCGGTGCAATAACCATGCATTGAAGAAAAACATGCTCAACCACGCCCCAAAGGTCATTTCAGCTCCATCTGAAGGCATTTCTTTGACAAATTAGTTGAATCTGACAATTTTCACTTGGGTGGTAGGGATGCAGGGAGAAAGGATGTCACAGAGGCTGGGCACATCTTTGAGACAAGCCTCTGGGTGCTTCACAGATTGTAGCTCAACCCAAGCTTAGCGGGAGAGGGGGGCTCTTTGGGTGCTGGCATCCCCTCAAAAGTCAGCATTCCCAGGCTCTTTGGAGGCCTCTCAGGGAAAGCTCCTGTTGATTCTGTGTCCCTGGCAGGTGTGCCTGGCTCTCCAAGTTCCAGGACAGCAGCCAATGGTTACAGATCGATCTGAAGGAGGTCAAGGTGATTTCAGGGATCCTCACCCAGGGTCGTTGTGACATCGATGAGTGGATGACCAAATACAGTGTGCAGTACAGGACCGATGAGAGCCTGAATTGGATTTACTATAAGGACCAGACCGGAAACAACCGGGTAAGTCAGGCCTACCCCAAATCACCTTAGCTCACACTCTGGGACTCTCTTCTTTGCTATATCCCTGTCACCGCCCTCTGTCAGAGCACTGACCCCAAGCAGGTGTCTTTCTTGTTATATCCCAGATTGTCTGCAAATTAGTGTCATTCTTGCATGCAGAAGAAATCTTTGTCTGAATCCTCATATCAGCCTATAGTTGCTTGAATAATCAAAGCCAACTCTCTGGACTATTCCAAACTCATTGGATCGTTGAACACTTTGCTGCATAGGTCTGACATGATCCATTACTGATGCAGGTAGGTTCTGGTCCATTGATGTAGATATGGCTCCTCCTTACTACTGATTGAAAGTTCTGGACAACCCAGCAAAATAGCCACTAAACTATAGAAATGTTAGAAACGACTCCAGCAGAGCAGACACAGAGTCCCTTAAACTTTTATATGCCACTAACCACTGAGCAACAAGACCCAACTCTGTTCATCATAGACTGAACACAATTCTCTCTCTACCTATATCTATCTATATATAGATATATAACGTATATTTATGATGAACTAAAAATTTACTAGCTGTTTGGAAATACTAACTGTCCTTTCGCCTGTGAGGACTTCCCCTAGTTGATTTGGACATTTAACCAAATTAAGTGCAGCTGAAAATCAGAAGGCTTTGTACTCTCTGATGCCAATTTGTATAGCAAGAACATGCATGGGTTGAGATTTTAAGGAGTTTGAACAATAGGTAAAATCAGCTCAATACTTGGACATTTTGTCCCATTTTTGTTCTTATTGCCTTTTCAAAGAGATATGGGAATTCTTTTCAAGCACTGTGCTTCTGAAGGCCTTGAGGTTCTTTGCAAATTGCCTGTTGGGCACTTGTGCCATCTGGAAGAGCCTGTTCCATCCTCCCTCTTCACTGGCTGCTGCCTTGAATAGGTTCAAGGGCACAAATAGGGGAGAGAAGGGGATGGGGGGCATCATTATTAAGAAGAAAGGTAAGATCATGGCATATAAGGCCCTTCTGGAAGGGAATGAAATGTTCTGGTGATGTCGGGCAGAACACTATGACTCTGGGAAGATTGAAAGCAAAGATTTCTTTGGAAATACAGCCAAACATCCACCTCACCTTTTATGCTTCACCCACTGCATCATGCCATGTTATATCCTGAGAACCACAAAACAAACCCTTTATCTCTGTTCTCTGGCCCTGCCCTCCTCCTTGCAAACCTTCCCTCTAGTTTGTTTTTTTCTTTTAAGAAACATTCCCGAGTGTAGAAAGTCCTTGCTCTTTGTATTGATGTTGAGACTTACCATTAAGTTTAGCTCATGGCTCAGGACTGCAGAGCCAGCTCACAGATTTTTACCTGAGCCCCACGTTGGACACCTTTGGAACATGGCAATATTCCTCTTGTGTGATGTTCAAAATTAGAAGAGAACATCTTTTCAAAATTCTTGTCAAAACACAGAGAATTAAAATGCAAAATCAAGAGGCGATTTTTATAAAAAGCACCATCCAAACAAACTCTGTGTGATGATGGAAATGTCCAATATATCTGGAGACCTCTAGAACTGCACTGCCCAATATGACCGCCACCAACCACATCAGCCATGGAGCTCTGTGATTGATGAAGTGCATTGCTATCTAATTTGAAGTCCTTTGCATTTAACTAGCCACATGTAGCTCTGGCTACCATCCTGGACAGTGCAGTTCTAGCTGTCTCCAGCCTCAGAGAGGTCTGGAGCGTATAGGTGCTAACAACCAGTCAAGATCAGATTTTGTGGGGGCACCTGCAAATTCTCTCTATATGGAGCACTTTTCTGAGATTTTCCAGGTAAAAATTGGGGCCAGCTCCAGACAAGAACCAGTCTTCCTTTTCCCACCCCTTTCTTTAGATCTTCTATGGGAACTCGGACAGATCTTCCACAGTCCAGAACCTGCTGCGGCCACCCATCGTTTCCCGCTTCATTCGGCTGATCCCGCTGGGCTGGCACGTCCGCATCGCCATCCGGATGGAGCTGCTGGAGTGTGCCCGCAAATGTGCCTGACACCTGCAAGCTGGGCGCCTGCAGGGGGGATGGGGGGGAGAGATGGGGAGGCACAGAGCGGCCCACAGAGACCCTCACCCCCTTGTGACAAGCGAGGGGCATTTTACAAGCTCTTTTTCGATGCAGAGCTGGGTAGAGAATGTTTCTTGCTTTCCAGTTTTTAAGATATAGTTTCCAATTTGAATGAGAAAAAAAAAAAAACAAAACACCATAATAAACCTATTCCCCACTTAGGGCCAAAGAAAATAAGAACAAAGAAAATGTCTCTGAAAACAATTTTCATACAAGAGCCTGAGTAGCAGGGGTAATTGGATGCTGTTTTTTTGTTTTGTTTTGTTGCAGCAACACTGGGAAAGGTGGAGTCCCAAGGGAACACAGAGCAGCCCTGATCATTTGCAATTTCTTTTGCTTGATTCCAAACAGGAACATCATGTTTCACAAAGCCTGGCTTTTCATGTAAAGGAGCAGCAAGCGTGCACTGCTCTTGAGTTTTCATTAAATCGTGACCATTGAGGACTAGAGAGCCCCAGGGACAGAGTGAAAGGTTTCGGGGTGACCGGGTGGTGCAGATGAGCCCAGTGGGTGTGAGCCCATGCCCCAGTTTCCTGAGAGCCATACACGACCGAAGGGCCCAGGCTTCAGCTGCTGAGCTTTTACACCATGTTCACCGGGATTGGGGGGGGGGTGTTTCCAGAGCTCCCATTATATACAACCCATTCAGGCTGCACATGGAAGTATTTAGGGACCCCAAATGACCAGAACACATCAGAATTCCTCTTTATCTAGGGCTGCTGTTTCCAACAAGCTTCCCGCTTTGAAAACAGTTGGCCCAGGAGCTATCACTGGCTACGGGGAGGAGGCCCATTAGCTGAACCCATTACCTCTGTAGGAAGCAGTCAGAACCTATGTCCTAAGGATGGGGCTGTGGCTACACCCCTGGTGAGCCCACCTTCCAACTTCTGCCCCCTTGCGTTGCAACGCAAGCCTTTCGGTTCCTGACTGCAGCCTCCTTGGGAAGGAATGGGCATCGCCTTCTCCTCCTGGAGAAGCTCCTTAAGCAGGGAATTTGGAGAACAACAGTCTAAGTCTCCCTTGTCATTTATAGGTCAGCCTGAGCTTTTGGGTTCTTCCCTGGGAAAGGCTAATGATGACGTGGCAGGTGGGCAGGAGAAGATTTGAAGGAGGAGATGAGAGGCGGTGGGATCAGAGAATGGGGCCCTTTAACGAGACTGGGGAACCTAACCTGGCCTTGATGCAGTACACCCTTTGCTAGCAGCTCATTTATTCAAGTTACTGTTTTTGTTTTGTTTTGTTTTAATTTTAGTGCGTTTCTTACAGAGTGCAAGAGAGGGATAGAGAGAAACATCAATGAGAGAGAAACATTGATCAGCTGCCTCCTGCACACCTCCTACAGGGGATGTGCCCACAATCAAGGTACATGCCCTTGACCGGAATTGAACCTGGGACCCTTCAGTCCGCAGGCCGATGCTCTATCCACTGAGCCAAACCGATTAGGGCTCCAAGTTACTGTTTTCCAACACCAGGCTGAGTGCTGGACTCACACTAACCTTCTCTGTGAGTGAGTAGCCTCCTAAAACCCCCAGTCTCTTCCCTGGTGTCCTTGGGCTTTGAGGAGTTCCATATTTGATGTAGCCTTTTTCTTCTCCTCACGCTGTATATCTGAACCCGAAAAAAAACACTCTTCCCTGCTCCACCTGCTCTCAAATCAATTCACGGTGGGGAAAAATCCTTCTCTGGTCTTAGGACACACAGATAAATGCATTTTGAACAGAACACCTGATTGGATATCCTAACTGGGAAAGTTGAATGAACTTTTATCATGACATGAACTGTCAGAGAAAAGCCTAAGTTCAAGCCCTCTCCAACCGGCACTTTGGACCCAGGAGGGAAGTCAAGAGGAAAAAAGAATGAAATGGTGTGAGGCAGGGATAAAGGTTCTCCAAATAATTGTTCATATTGGATATTTTTGTTTGGTAACATCTTTATTGAGATAAAGTTCACACACCATACAAATTTCACCCATTTAAATTGTACAATTCAGCGACTTTTAGTATAGAGTTGAGTAATCATTATCACAATCAATTAAAAAAATCATCATCCCAGAAATAAACCCCACACCCATTAGGTATCACTCCACCAACCCACTTGCCCACTCCAGCCATAGATAACCACTGATTTATTTCTGTCTCTATAGCCAATTCTGGACATTTCTTAGAAATTAAATCAAATACAATATGTGGACTTTTCTGTCTGGATTCTTTCGCTTAGCGGTGTTTTCAAGGTTTGCTCATGTGGTAGCATATATCATACTTCATTCCTTTTTTATGGCAGAATATCATTCCACTATAGGGGTAGACCACATTTTATTATCTATTCATTTGTTGATGGACATTTGGATTATTTCCATGCTTTTTGGCTATTACTAATAATGTTGCTACAATTGTGTACAAGTTTTTGGGTAGTCATGTTTGTGTATTCATTTATCTTGGATATATATACCTAACAGAGGAACTTCTGGGTCATATAACTCTGTTTAAACTTCTGAGTAACCATCGGACGATTTTCCAAAGTGGTTGTACCATTTTACACTCACACTAGCCATCTACTAGGGTTCTAATTTCTCTACACTTGTTATTATCTGTCTTTTGGATTATAGCCATCCTGGGGAGTATGAAGTAGTATCTCATTGTGGTTTCGATTTGAATTTCCCCATGACTGATGATGCTAAGAATCTTTTCATGTGTTTACTGGACCTTTGTACACTACATTGGAAATATGTCTAAGAAACTTTATCCATTTTAAATTAAGGCTGTCTTTTTATTATTGAGTTGTATGAGTTTTTAAATTTATTTTGGATGCAATTCCCTTATTAGACATATGATCTGAAATTGTTTTCTTCTATTCTATGGATTGTCTTTTTATTTTCTTGGTGGAGTCCTTTGAAATATACATTTTAAAATTTTGATAACATCCAATTAATTTTTCTCTTTGTTTGCTTGTGCTTTGGAGTTATAGCTGGGAAACTGTTGCCAAATCGATATCATAAAGATTTACTATGTTTCCTTCTGGGAGTTTTATAGTTTTAACTTACATTTAGGTCTTTGATGCATTTTGAGTTAATTTTTATATACGGTATGAGATAGGGGTCCAACTTCATTGTTTGCATGTGTCTATACAGTTATCCCAGCACCATTTGTTAAAAAAAAAAAAACTATTCCCTCCATTGAATAGCCTTAGTATCCTTATTGAAAAAATAGGAATTGACATAAAAGTGAAGGTTTATTTCTGAACTCTCAATTCTATTCCACTGATCTATACGCCTGTCCTAATGCCAGCACCAGTTTTGATTATTGTAGCCCTTGTAGTAAGTTTTGAAATTAGACCGTGTGAGTACTCCAACTTTTTCTTCTTTAAGATTGTTTGGATTGAGTCCCTTGAATTCCCATATAAATTTTAGGATCAACTTGTGTTTTTTTTTTTACAAAGAAGTCAGCTGAGATTTCACAAGGGAAATTGTTCAATACTTCAGAATTTAATAAACAACGAGATACTGAAATCTGTAAAATGTTTATCTGCAGGTAATTTGTTTACAACAGCATATGATTTTTTACTTAATTGAATTCATGCCAGAATATATAAAGATACAACTTTTTTTGAGGGATATCTGAAGCCTAACAGAATTTTGCTACTAAACACATGCACTATGTTTGCAGCATTATTTCTTTTGTGGGGAAAACTTTCAATTAAAAAATATATAGTCTAGCAAAACCTCATTCTCTTACCTTATGTTAACATGTTTACTTTTCTTTTCAGTAATGCCAGGATAGTCTACACTTGGAGATTTTTTTTAATTGTGGTAAAATATACATAACATATTGCAGATTTAAACACAGCTACATTAAATGCTACGAACAACAACAAAAAAAAGTGGCAGAAAGTGTTGCCAAAGATTAAGAAAAAAATCTGAACTGTGTGGGTATTCAGTGAGGGAGGGGGTCACTCGGACTTAGCAAAGGTATTTTAAAACAAAGATGGCACTACGAATCCAGTCTCAGAACCTGGAGGACTGCACACCTAGTGAGCCTTCGAACAGACACTGCCAGAAGCCCGTCTCTTTGACTGCCTGCAATTGCTGGGGCCTGCTGACAAATGCATAGCTGTAAGGGCTGTTGCTTCCCCAGGATCCAAGAATAGCTCCAAGCTATAAGTAACGTCAAGTCACAATGGTTCTTAACCTGGACAGTGTTACAGGGCTGAGGTGAAGGTCAAATAGGATTAATGTATCTAAAGTGCTTAATGAGATCTCCCTAGCTGGCAATCATAATTCTGTGATAGTCCCTTTCAAGTTCATAGGGCTGCTGACATGGGCACAAATACTAGCAACAATGTTGTAACAGCTAATGTTTATTGAGAACCTACCAAGTGCTCTGCAAAGTATCATCAAATCCTCAAAACAACCTATGAGGTAGGTATCCTTATTCTTATTTCCACTTAAAGATAAGGTAACTTCGACATAGAAAAGTTAAGTAATTTGCTTAAAGCCATACAAGATGTAGGACTACCCTCAGGTAAGCAGACTCCAGATCTGGTGCTTTTGACCACTTCACCAGTCTCTGGACCTCTAGTGACCCATTTCAAAGAAATGTTATATTCTCAAATCAAATCAACTGCCACCTGCTGAAAGATGGGAGGAAAGGTGTCCATGAATCACCCATGCCAGTTTCTATACATGGGGACACAGCAACTGCACTATTTAGTAGTGATGAAGGACGGGCTTTACAGTGAACATGCTAAGCTCCAAATCCTAGCTGGCTGACCTTGGCCAAGTTCATGTAAAGCCCACAGACCTGTTTCTTCATCTACAAAATGGGGGTACAACCCATTTCATTGTGTTGCCGTGAAAAGTAAATGTAATAGTAAAAGCAGAACACTTGGCATGGTGCCCAGCCATAGTAATATGAACATAAAAAATTACAAGC